AGTCTTTTCCTATACAGAAAATCAAATCGAAGCGTAAAAAGCCGTGGGTGACGAAAGGACTGAAAAATTCCTCAAAAAACTTACGCTCACTGCATTACATTAGGAAATTTACGAATGACCAATTTATCTGTATGTACCTCACGAGGTACCGTAAAATTTATAAATCAACTATCAGGTTAGCAAAGAAAATGTATTACAGAAACATAATTGGAGAATCAACTAACAAAATTAAAGAGACTTGGAAAATCAAAGAAAACAAAGGTTGATATCCCATTAAAACCTAACAAAATAAATGAATTCTACTGCACAATTGCTCAAAAGCAAAGCACTACTATTCGCGTGCCCTATAAATGAAGGATCATTCAATCTAGAAAATATTAATATCGATGATAGCCTCATTTTGTATAACACATATTCATGAATTAATTGAAACTTTGAACGACATCAGAAATGAAAATACCGCTGGGTATGATGAGATTTCGGTAAAAATACTTTTGAATCTACCAAGCAATGCATTGGAAAATTTAGTTAATCTCATTAATGCCTCCTTCGAAACTGGCTCATTCCCTCCTTCTTTTAGGACTTCAATTGTTATTCCCCTACATAAAGGTGGTGATTTGCATAATCCCTCCAATGTGCGGCCCATTTCTCTAATTCCAACCTTAGCGAAAATTATTGAAAAATTAGTGAATAAACGATTGAATGATTTCTTAAATTTGCATGATATCATGAGTAATAACCAATTTGGGTTCCAGACGGGTTCCTTTATAAACTGGTGAAGTAGCTGCCGCAATTTTCTGTCACCTTTCGAAGGCTTTTGATTGTGGTAATCATGAATTATCACTCAAAACACTTCACCGGTATGCAGAGGACGTACAATTGGTTGGAATCGTATCTCTCAGGCCGAAGTCAAATTGTAAGAACATCGAACTCTCAGAAAGCAGGGCAATCACATTTGGTGTGCCACAGGGATCTGTGTTAAGTCCAGTTCTGTTTTTGTTGTATATTAATGATTTGACTATGATAGATATATCTGGCAGCTTTACTCTATTCGCGGTTGATACAACAATATTGTGGAAGGAAAAAACCCAGAAGAGCTACATAAAAAGATATCATCTGATTTAGAAAAGGTGGAAAATTGGTATGATGCTAATTTATTATCTTTGAACATATCCAAAACAAATATAATAACATTTAAATATCTGCTGAATGAACTGTCAATAGACAATGATATCTTGGAAAACAAATTGAACATATAATTTCTTGGTGTCTATATTGATAATAGGTTCAAATTTGATGAACACATCAGACAACTCAAGTGTAAAATCTCCTCCGGATGTTATGCAGTGAGGATGGTTT